GATTTGGGAGTATTTACATATACATAATACAATATCTTGGGGAAGGGACCCAAGTCTAAATACATAATTTATATTTCATTACTCCAAAGGTAATTTTATTTTCATCTTGGGGATGCAATATGTGTTGTTTTCTTGAGTTTTGACTGTGACCTTTCACATGAGATCAGTTGTGGAATTTTCCACTTGTGTCATCATGTTGGTGCTCAAAAAGCTTCAGATTTTGGAGCATTTCAGATTTCAGATTTTCAAATTAGGGTTGTTCAACATGTAATCCAACTGCAAAAAAAACTTATGCGTAATGAAACCACTAAAGGTTAACATGGTAAATGATGTGCTATATTGTTAGTGATGTCAGTTTATGGAAGAAAGATCAGTGGTACCGTTTTATTATGCTCCACAGTGTACTCAGCAAACTTCAGTCAACCTATAGACCTGTTCCTTTAGGTCCGAGTACTGTAAGATCTGGAGCTGGAAAGCAGTAGATGGGACACTTTAGTGGGCTGTAGGGTTCAAGGTGATAATTTTAAACAAACTTCATGAAGGACAGAAACTGATCTGTAGGTTCTGTATCCAAACACAGGGCCAAGGGGCTGAGCCATTGTTGGGTGCTATTACTTGTGTTGGGAACCAATAAGGAACAGAAAACAAACAAAAACACTAAACCAGAGAAGTGGGCCTATTGAATACTTTACTTAAAAAGAATTAGGAAAAGGAAGAGGTTAGAGTTGGTGCATCTGCTCCTCTGGTGTTTGTGTATTATAAGAAAGATAGATGTTAGAGGTAGCAAAGTTGTGTTGCAAGAATTAAAGCCACCAACAGATGAGACTTGGACCTAAACAATTTCTCAGGAGAAACCTGTGAAAAACGTAATGTCTGAAGTAATAGTATATCAAAAGGACCAGCTATTTGATGAATGCCTCTTAGGAGTCCATTAGGAGGATACTTATTTTGCTCATTTGACAGGTGAGAAAACTAAGATTCAAAGAGATTAAGTAACTTGCCCAATTCAGTTAGTAGTGGACAGAGGACTTTTGGTGTGGGAAGGACCATCCTAGGACCAGAATCAAACGTAGGATGTAAAGCATTGTTCTTTAAGACAACCAAAGTGTAAATTGTAATCCTAATAACTAATTTGAGATGCTACAGTAAGAAAAGCCTTCAGTGACCTTGAAAAACCATAGTAGTTAGTAAAATATCATATGTTCTCCTGACTTTAGCATGGATTGCTGCTGCAGTGTCCAATAGGTAGCCACTAGTCACACATTAGCATTTGAGCACTTGAAATGTGCCTAGGGTTACATATTGACAAGATAATATTTTGGATATATTGGTTAAATAAAATATATTATCAAAATTAACTTCCCCTGTTTCTTTTTACTTTTTTAAATGCAGCCACTTGAAAATTTAAAATTACGTATCTGTTTGCATTATATTCCTATTGACTGGTACAGATTTTGAACAATGCCAAGACTGTGTCGAGATCAGCATTACCTTTTTAGAGAACTCCAGGTCATACCCCTAACTTATCAAGAAATTGGGTCCTTCCCAGACCAAAAGTCCTGCACATGATGGCCAAGCCTTAAACAGCTTCCTGATCCCTTGGGTACTGGTTCATGCTGTTTCTCACCTCCTCAACCAAAATGTACCTCAGCCTTCTGTGACCCTCCTCTGCTTTATTTTCACAGATCTATATTCATAAAATGTCATCAGTATTGGAGAACAGTAATCTAATTAGTTGGCTCTAGGCTCCAAATAATTCTGATGTGGATTAGCCATTTTCTTTGATATAACCCCTAACATCATCTTCTGTTTCCTTACCACCCCAGGTTTGCCTTATCTTGTTCAGCTAAATCTAGGTACCAATATGCATGTGCTGAGCTGTGAATTTTTTCATTAAGCTGTCTTCAAATATTGATTTTCTTTCCTCAAGAGACTTCATTACAAACACCTAACCCTAATATTCTGGTAATCCTGATGCTGATATTCTAAATGTAAATGATCAGACTGACTCTCTCTGCCTCTTAAGAGTTTCATTTTTATGAATCAGCACCACAGTGTTACACAACTTAACCAAGAATGACTGATAAAACTGTTCCTGAAAATACAAAACTCAAGACTATGGATTTTGTGGTGGCTCCAGGAGGTGCAGAAATATCATCAAGCCCACCCAGCAACATTGTTTCATTCATTGACTTGTGCATTCATTCATTTATTCATTCATTCCTGTTGAGAACCTCACTGTAGTAGGCATTATGTTTAATGCTAGGAATACAGAAAGGAAAAAGATATGGTCTATGTGTTTTCAGTAGGTGTTTGTAATGAAGTCTCCTGAGGAAAGAAAATCAATGTATCTATATATATTTAAATAGTACATGCATTTCTAACTTTTTAGTGGACATTTCTGTAAAAACAATACATTTACAGAAAGTCAGTAGTAGCCCAAAAGGTCAGGAACATAGCCTTTGCATTAAAACTTCTGGGCAGCATAGAAATAGGAATACAGTTCTACCACCAGCCTTGTTTCTTTTCCTTCTATTCCCTTCTTTCTTTCTCCCTCACTTCATTTCCTCCTTTCTTCTTAGTAAAAAATCTTTCATTGTCACAACTCATTATATACATATACACACATATATATACATGTACACACACACACACACACACATATATACATTTTCAATATTTGATGTGGTAACATGGTGTCCGCTCATGAGACACAATGTGGAATGGTGGGTGGCAATGTCAAGGTCAGGAATTAGAAGACCTCTAATTCTTGTTTTATCTGCCCTATTTGAAGCAAGTTCAGCAAATCACTTAATATCTCTGGGTTTATGAGTCCTGATCACATTTTTAACTTTGTAATTCCATCAACTTTTTTTCAAATGGCACTTTAGAAATATTGGAGACTGTTCTGATGACATCTTAGGTATAGGCTCAGAGAAGGAAACAAGTTACTCTTTAGGTGCATAAGTTGTATTCAGTTGTAGCAGGATGTATTAGTTTTTTATACCCTATTTTAGTATGAGTATTGAGTGAGAGCATAACTAATTGAAAATATGCAGTTGATTCTTGGCTTATAAGTGATAGTTGGTTTTTGTTTTCAGAGAGCCAAGACTCCTAAAGGCCAAAGGGCTGAGCAACATCTAGAAAGAATCCGACGCAGCCATCAGAAGCATAATGCTATTTTGGCTTCCATTAAGTCAAATGAGCGGGATCGCTTGAAAGTTGAGTGGGACCAGCACCATGACTGCAAGTTTTTGGACAACCTTGTGCGAGCAAGAATCAAGGATGCCGTGCAAGGGTTTATCATTAACATTGAAGAAAGACGAAATAAGTAAGGTTCACAGACCTGGGACCCAAACTATGAAATATTCCTACAATTTGAGATTGGCCAGTCAAAAATCAAATTTAGGGAGGCTCATGGCTGAGCTGTTTATATTAAAATCAATAACTATTGTTGGTTAATATTTTTAATATTTTTACTTGTGATAGCCTATGTTTTGATGGAAAATAAAACATTGTTTCATGTTTCATTTTAATTGAAATCTTCATTTTGTTCTTTTGTTAAAAATATTTATTTCATATGTCATTTGTATGTGATCAAATAAAATATGGTACAATTGGCTGGGTGTAGTGGGTCATGCCTATAATCTCACCACTTTGGGAGGCTGAGGTGGGAGGATTGTTTGAGTCCAGGAGTTTGAGACCAGCCTGGGCAATGTAGTGAGACCCCATCTCTGCAAAAAAAATTTTTTTTAAATAGCTGGGTGTAGTGTAGTCCCAGCTGTTCAGGAGGCTGAGGTGGGAGGATCATCTGAGCCCAGGAGGTCAAGGCTGCAGTGAGCCATGATCACACTGCACTCCAGCCTGGGTGACAGAGTGAGACCCTATCTCAAAAAAAATAATAATAATAACTAGTCTTATTTTATGGAAGACCATAATGATCTTTCTCTTCTTACAAAATTTATTAGACATATAATTCTGAAATTGAATATAACAAAAATTAGTAAAATGTAGCATGACAGTTCTTTTTTTCTTTTTTTGGCTTTTTGTTTCAGGCTACGTGAACTTTTAGCATTAGAAGAAAATGAGTATTTTACAGAAATGCAATTGAAGAAAGAAACCATTGAGGAGAAAATAGATAGGATGAGAGAGAAAACTAAATTACTAAAAGAGAAGAATGAAAAAGAGAGGCAGGATTTTGTAGCTGAAAAGCTAGACCAGCAATTCAGGTAATGAAATCAGAAAACACACAAACAGAATCCAAAGTTGGTACATTAAAATAGATTTAAGAATGCTAATTTAAAGTAAATTAGTCTTAAGACGATTTACACAGTACTTGTAACTTTAAGTCTTGGCAGTGTATTACATATCATTGAATAATACAGTGTGTGCTTGAGAACTATGCCCTAATGTTCTGTGTTTGCTTCTCAATTAGAATGGAAGTTATTAAATGAGATTTTGTTACTGAACTTGGTATTAACCTCAGCCTTGCTTTTGGCAGGAAGTGCTTCAAAACCCCCTATGCGAAGGAATCTTTGGTAAAGTTGGACTCTCTTCCTACTGCTATAGTCTCTACCTATGCTGAATGTGTGCTTGGTTCTCTGGGGATTTTGTTGTCATTTTCTGAGACAGGGTCTTGCTCTGTCACCCAGGCTAGAGTGCAATGGTGTGATCATGACTACAACCTCCGCCTCATGAGCTCAAAGTGATCCTCCTGCTCCAGCCTCCCAAGTAGCTGGGACTACCAGCATGTGCCACCGTGCCCAGCTAATTTTTTGTAGAGATGGGGTTTTGTCATGTTGCGCAGGCTGGTCTTGAATTCCTGGACTCAAGCGATACACCCACCTCAGCCTCCCAAAGTATTGGGATTATAGGCATGAGCCATCACGCTTGGCCCTCTCTTCTTTATTTTCTGTTTCCTTGCCTGGTATTCTGATCATTGGGGTCTGGTCACCTGGATTTATAAGGCACTTCCTGACCCAGACCCATGGCGACCCTCAGTTTTCAGATCCCTGGACTTTACTGTACTCAGTCTGGTCCTGTGGTTGTCTCCATATCCCTTTTCATTGTGCTTTTCCATCTTAGGATACCCTGAATCCATACCCTGATAGACTACCCACTACTGTGCACTTACAGAGGGAAGATTTCTGTGGGAGTACCCAAGAGTGATCCTCTGAGATGATCTATAGTGTTATATAATCAGGAGCTTGGCAGATGCTTTTAATTTCACAAAGATATTTTTTACCTCTAAAGCAAAAATATACTAAAAAGTCTCAATGTCTTTTTTTTTCTTTTTTTTTTTTTGTAGGGACAGATGTCTTATGTCTCTCCCTAGAGCTACAGCTTTTAGAACAAGAGCTATTATATATTTATAATGTTTTTGTAATTCCTCAGTTATGTTTTCAGTGCTTCTGATACTTCTAAGAGTATAAACATTAAGAATTGGGCTGAGCATGGTGGCTCATACCTGTAATCCCAGCACTTTGGGAGGCTGAGGCAGGCAGATCACCTGAGGTCAGGAGCTTGAGGCCATCTGTCTAACATGGTAAAACCCTGTCTCTCCTAAAAATACAAAAAATTAGCTGGGTGTGGTGGCACACATCTGTAGTCCTAGCTACTTGGGTGGCTGAGGCAGGAGAATTGCTTGAACCTGGGAGGTGGAGGTTGCAGTGAGCCAAGATCACACCACTGCTCTCCTGCCTGGGCAACAGAACGAGACTCGCTCTAACTCAAAAAAAAAAAAAAAAAAAAAAAAAAAAAAAAAAAAAAAAAAAAAAAAAAAAAAAAAAAAAAGAAGAAGAAGAATTGCTGTTATTTGGCTGTGCACGTCAACTCACACCTATAATCCCAGCACTTTGATCGCTTGAGGCCAGGAGTTTGAGACCAACCTGGGCAACATAGTGAGACCTTACCTCTACAAAAAATAAAAAAATTAGCCAGGCATGGTAGCATGTGCCTCTAGTCTTAGCTACTCGGGAGGCTGAGACAGGAGGATCACTTGAGCCCAGGAGTTCGAGGTTGCAGTGAGCTGCAATTGCAACACTGGACTCCAGCCTGGACAACAGACTGAGACGCTGTCAATTAAAAAAAAATTCCATTATATATCTCAGGATAGTTTGTTCATTTTTTCCCTTTATTCTCTTCTTTTTTAAAATTTTTGTGGGTACTTAGTAGGTGTATATATTTATGGGGTACATGAGATGTTTTAATATAGGCATGCAATGTGAAATAAGCACATCATAGAGAATGGGGTATCCATCCCCTCAAGCATTTATCTTTTGAGTTACAAATAATCCAGTTATACTCTAAGTTATTTTAAAATGTACAATTAAGTTATTATTGACTATAGTCATCCTGTTGTACTGTCAAACAATAGGTCTTATTCATTCATTCTTTTTTTTGGTACCCATTAACTGTCCCCACCTCCACCCCCAATCCCCCACTATCCTTCCCAGCCTCTGGTAACTATCTTTCTTTATCTCCATGAGTTCAATTGTTTTGATTTTTTTATCCCACAAATATGTGAGAATATGCCATGTTTGTCTTTCTGTGCCTGGCTTACTTCGCTTAATGACCTCCAGCTCCATCCATGGTGTTACAAATGACTGGATTTCATTCTATATTATGACTGAATAGTACTTCATTGTGTATATGTACCACATTTTCTTTATCCATTCATCTGTTGATGGACACTTAGGTTGCTTCCACATCTTAGCTATTATAAACAGTGCTACAACACACACAGGAGTGCAAACATCTCTTTAATATACTGATTTTCTTTCTTTGAGGTCTGTACCCAGCAGTGGGATTGCTGGATCTATGGTAGCTCTATTTTTAGTTTTTTAAGGAACCTCCAAACTGTTCTCCATAGTGGTTGTATTACATTCCCACAGTGTATGAGGGTTCCCTTTTCTCCACATCCTCACTAGGATTTGTTATTGCCTGTCTTTTGGATGTAAGCCATTTTAGCTGGGGTGAAATGATATCTCACTGTAGTTTTGATCTGCATTTCCCTGATGATCCATGACGTTGAGCACCTTTTCATATGCCTGTTTGCCGTTTTTATATCTTTTGAGGAATGTCTGTTGAAATCTTTTGCCCATTTTTTGATGGGGTTATTAAATTTTTTTCTTATACAGTTGTTTGAGCTTCTGGTTATTAATCTCTTCTCAGAGGAGTAGTTTGCAGATATTTTCTCCCATTCTGTGGGTTGCCTCTTCACTTTGTTGATTTTATCTTTTGCTATGTAAAAGATATGATCCCATTTGATACGGCCCCAGTAGTCCATTTTTGCTTTGGTTGACTGTGCTTGTAGAGTATTGCTCAAGAGATCTTTTGCCCAGACCAATGTCCTAGAGATTTTCCCCCAGTGTTTTCTTGTAGTAGTTTCATAGTTTGAGGTCTTAGATTTAAGTCTTGGATCTATTCTGATTTGATTTTTATATATGATGAAAGATAGGTCTATTTTCATCCTTTGATTTGACTTTTATATATGATGAAAGATAGGGTCTATTTTCATTCTTTGCATATGGATATCCAGTTTTCCCAGCATCATTTATTGAAGAGATTGTTTTTTCCCCAGTGCATGTTCTTGGCTCCTTTGTCAAAAATGAGTTCACTGTATATTTGTTTCTGGGTTCTCTATTCCTTTTCTTTGGTTTATGTGTCTGTTTTTATGCTAGTACTATGCTGTCCAGTTTTGTTATTTTTGCTTAGAATAGCTTTGGTTATCTATCTATATCTATCTGTCTAACTTTATCTATCTATCTATCTATCTATCTATCTATCTATCTATCTATCTATCTATCTGAGACAGGATCTCATTCTGTTTTCTAGGCTGTAGTGCATTTACAGGATCTCAGTTCACTGCAACCTCTGCCTCCCAGGTTAGGTTCAAGCAATTCTCCTGCCTCAGTCTCCCAAGTAGCTGGAACCACAGGTGCGTACCACCACACTCAGCTAATTCTTCATTTTTTTTTAGTAAAGACGGGGTTTCACCATGTTGCCCAGGCTGGTCTCGAACTCCCAGTCTCAAGTGATCCACCCGCCTTTGCCTCCCAAAGTGCTGGGATTACAGGCATGAGCAACTGTTTTTTTCTATCTCTGTGAAGAATCTCATTGGTATTTTGATAAGGATTGCATCGAATCTGTAGATTGCTTTGGGTGGTATAGATATTTTAATAATATTGATTCTTCTAATTCAAGAACATGGAATATTTTTCAATTTTTTGGTGTCCTTTTCAATTTCTTTCATTGGTGTTTTATAGTTTTCATTGTAGAGATTTTTCACTTCTTTGGTTAATTCCTAGATATTTAATTTTATTTGTGGCTATTGGAAATGGGATTACTTTTTAAATTTCTTTTTCATGTTGTTCACTGTAAGCACAGAAGTACTATTGATTTTTGTATGTGGATTTTGTATCCTGCAACTTTACCGAATTTGTTTAGCAATTCTTAGAGTTTTCTTGTGGAGTCTAGGTTTTTCCAAATGTAAGAGCATGTCATCTGCAAACAAGGATAATTTGACTTCTTACTTTGCAAATTTGGAGGCCCTTTATATCTTTCTCTTGTGTGATTGCTCTAGCTAGGACTTCCAATGCTATATTGAATAATAGCAGTGATGGTGCATTTTGCCCCTTTTTTCAGACACATCTCTGAGCGTAGTGATCACATGATATGACCCATGGAATGCCCTAAATTATCCATTTCGTCTGTCTTTTAATTTTAGAATAACTAAGATTTTTATATTCAGAAGGGATTTTTAAAGTCCAAATATTACGTGGAAGTGTTTAAAACATAACCATTAGCATTCATTCATTCAGTAAATACTTTTGAGCTCCTACGTTATGCCGGGCTCTGTGAGAGTGATTGTCACTTAAGTTGTCAGGTCATCTAGTTTAAGTGGGGCATGGTGTGTATCATGTTAAGCCAGACTGAGGAACGGATGGTCCAAAAATACCTGAGTTAAAATCTGGTAGAATACAGAAGGAATACAAGAGTTCATTTTTCATAGCACTCAAAATCTGAGTAGACCAGAAATACGAAGGTCAACAGATGTGAAAAGCAGCAAAATGAGTTCTGTGGAAGGATCAAGACATGGTGCAGAGAAAGCTTCTTCCATTTGCTCTTTCTGCTGTGAAGTTGCTATTAATAATATGGACAGCCCTAAATCCTAAACCCTCCTACTAGAGGCCAGAAGGAGAAGTAAGCCGTTGCAGTGAGTGGGATACAAGTTGCAGATGCAGCTGCTAAAAGTAAATTCAGACTGTGAAAAGGAGAGGGAATAGGAAGTTTCAGGGCCTGGGGAGCTGCTGAAGGAGGGCAGTGAAGAAAACCCAGAGTAGTAATGCATAGGGCCAGAAGCGACTTGCCACTCTCCTCAGCTTGTAGATGGATAACTGAGTTCTATAGGTAGGGATTTGTCTAGGTCTTAAGCTTGAGGTGACCAAAAGAGGATTAGACTTGGATTTTCAAGCCTGCATAAAGCATGCACCCATACCCTGTCCTTCATGGGATTTAGACATCCTTGCTACTGGTTGCTGGGGGGAAAAGATGCTGTTGGGGGAAAATGGTATATTAGCCAAGTGACTCTCAATGAACCATTCATATATTTTCTATTCCCTAGTAAATTTCTCTCAATGTATTAAGAAAAATGAATGGTTCATAAGCAATTGTGCTTTTAAAATTTATGGATTTAGCAACATTTTACAGATTTCACTTGTATAACTGAGTTTTTGCTAGTTAGATGAATTGCTAAAAATTTTAAAGAAACAAATGTATCCTATAGTAATGTAATTTATCTGAAAACAAATTGTTTTCAGTGTTTTTAATGCAACACTGCCAACTCCTCAATATAGATAAGCAAACATACTGTTGAGTAAGGATGTGTTGTTAGACCCTATTACTGAAAATATCATTGAGGCTTTAATACATATATTAATATAAAGCAGAATAATTTTCCTCTTTCTTCTTTTTCTTGTGTGTTTTTTTTTGTATTCCATTGCAATAAATATACCACAATTTGTTTGTTCTCTTGGTGACAGTCATTTCAGTTATTTTCAGTGTGGGACTCTTATGAATAAAATTATGATGAATATACATGTCTTCTGATGGCATATGCATTCAATTCTCTTTGATATATTCCGTGACATTCGTAGAATATTTGATACATGGAATAGATCATTTTTAGTGCTCCTTATCTTCTATACAGCAAAATTATTTTCAGCAATAATAATGAAATGAAATGGATAATAATGACAAGAAAAAAATTACCAGTGGTTTTATTTGTTTTGTTTTTAATTTAAAATAATTATAGATTTACAGAAAGTGCAGAGATGGTGCAGAGATCCCATATACCCTTCACCTAGTTTCCTCCAGTGGTTACATCTTTCGTAATTGTAATACATTATTAAAACAAGGAAACTGACAGTGGTACAATGTGTGTGTTTAGTTCTGTGCCATTTTATCTCCTGTGGATCCGTGTAACCACCGCTACAATCAAGATACAGAACTATTCCATCACTGCAAACATCTGCATGTTACCTCTCTCGAGTCTTGCCCACTACTCTCACCCCCATAATTCCTAACCCTGACAACAACTAATCTCTATTTCCATAATTTCATTATTTTAAGAATGTTGTGTAAATGGAATCACACAATATGTGATCTTTTGAGATTGGCCTTTTTCACTCAACATAATGCCTTTAAGGTCCATCCAAGTTGTTGGAGGTATTGCTGGTTTGTCTTTTACATTACTGGGTAGTATTTCATTACATGAATGTACCTCAGTTTGTTTAAACTATTCACTTATTGAAAGACATTTTGTTTGTTTCTAGTTTTGCTCTACTGTAAGTACATCTGACAGGAACATTTGTGTACAGGTTTTTGTGTGAGCATATGTTTTCATTTCTTTAGGCAAATTATCATATATTATTACTGGATCATATGTAATTTTTTAAATAAACGATGTACTATTTTCTAGAGTAGCTGTACCATTTTACAGTCTCGCCAGCAGTAGATGAGGTCCAGTTTTTCCACATGCTCCTTTTGGTGGTGGCGTCATTTATGTTTTGTTTTTGTTTTTTTTTAGCTGTCCTAATAGGTGTGCTGTGATATCTCATCATGGGCTTAATTGGCATTTACCTAATGGCTGCTGTTGTTGAGCAACTTTTCATGTGCTTATTTTCCATCTGTACATTTTCTTTGGTAAAATGTCTCTTGATATCTGTTGCCCATTTTCTAGTTAGATTTTTAGAATTTAGATTTTTTTAGCTGTTAAGTTTTTGTTCTTTTTTTTAAGCTGTTAAGTTTTGATATATATATTTTTTGAGACAGAGTTTCACTCTTGTTACCCAGGCTGGAGTGCAATGTGCAATCTTGGCTCACTGCAACCTCCGCCTCCTGGGTTCAAGCGATTCTTCTGCCTCAGCCTCCCGAGTAGCTGGAATTACAGGCATGCGCCACCACACCTGGCTAATTTTTGTATTTTTTTAGTAGAGACAGGGTTTCTCTATGTTGGTCAGACTGGACCCGAACTCCCGACCTTAGGTGATCCACCCACCTCGGCCTCCCAAAGTGGGATTACAGGCATGAGCCACCGCGCCCTGCAAGTTTTGAGAATTCTTTATGTATTCTAGATAGAACTTATTTGTCCGATATGTGGGTTTTTTCCTAGTCTATAGATTATCTTTTTTTTTTTTCATGTTTTAAATGGTTTTTCCTTTTTTTCCCCATTCAGTAGTTCTGTCTCATTTATCCTATTGAAAGGATCTTGTACAGAGCAAAAGTTTTTAATATTAATGAAATCAAATTTATCAATATTTCTTTTACGGATTGTGCTTTTGGTACATTATGAAATTTCTTTTTAAATACCCTGTAATTATACGCAGTTAATAATTAGACCCCAGATTAAGGTAGGCATTTCAAGGGTTTGTTTTGGGGTGTTTTTATTAATGAATATCCTGGGATGTATGGTCAGAATGCCTGTGAGTCAGAGGTAGTCTTGCATCTATCAGTTGATGGTGGAGGTGATACAGTGAGGCACCAAGAAATCCAAACTCCAGGGCCACACTACCAGGTCTTCAGTCCCAGTTCTACCACATATTAAATGGATGAACTTAGATAAGACGCTTACTGCTCTGTGCTTCCATTTCCTCATCTGTAAACCAAGGATAATAAAAATAACAAAAATGAACTTGCAGTAATGTTCATTGCCATATTGGTTGTTATAAAGATTACAAGAGTTCATACATGGTAAAGTGCTTAGAATAGAATCTGGCAGATAATAAGCACTTAATAACTTTTGCTAATAATATTCTTACTACTGGCTATGTGACTTGGGGAGACACCTGGGCTCCCTGAGTCTCCGTTGCTTTAACTCTAAGATAGGGATAATACCTGCTACCTATAAAGCATTCACAAACAGAAAGTGTTCCTCTTATCGATGATTGTTATCTTGAGAATAAATAGACATTTCATCCATCATTTAATTGAATTTTTTTTTTTAGAGATAGGGTCTTCCTTACTGACCTACAGTGCAGGCTGGAGTGCATTGGTATGATCCTAACTCAGTGCAGCCAGAAACTCCTGGGTTTGAGTGGCCTTCTTGACTCTGTCTCCCAAGTAGGTAGGACTACAGGCATGTACCACCATGCCTAACTAACTTTTTGAAAATTTTTGTAGAGACAATGTCTCACTGTGTTGCCCAGGCTAGTCCTGGGCTCCAGCGATCCTCCTGCCTTGGCCTCCCAAAGTATTGGGATTACAGATATGAGTCACCATGCTTGGCCAGATATGCTGTCTACCAATAGTGAGCATCTCAGCATGGTGTGGTGGTTGATGCCTGTAATCCCAGCACTTTGGAAGGCTTAGGCATGAGAATCACTGCAGGCTAGGACTTGGAGACCAGCCTTGGCAACATGGCGAGACCTTGTCTCTACAAAAAAAATTGTTTAGCCAGACATGGTGACATGTGCTTGTAGTCTCAGTTACTTGGGAGGCAATGGTGGGAGGATCAATTGAGGCCAGGAGTTCAAGGATGCAGTAAGCCATGATCATGCCACTGCATTCCAGCCTGGGCGACAGAGTGAGACCTTGTCTCTTAAAAAAAAGTGAGCATCGCTAAATGAGGGGTTCTCAAAGTCAAGTGAATAGGTCAGTCATTTGAGTTAATAGGTTGAGTTTTTGGTCCAAGGTCACACAGGAAATGGAGTCAGGCTGCCTTTGCCTGACTCCAGTTTCCATAGTCAGGCTGTGCCATCCTGGTGCCTGCCTCTCTGCTACTCCTTCATGTTTCCTATGCTCCGATGGCCTGCATCCAGGTCTTTGATTTTTCTTGCTCCATTGTGTACAGATGTGTGCCTCAATAGAGCAGTGATTCATGAAAGGCTGTGTTTTGTCTTTTTAAAATTTCCTTTTCAGGGAACACTGTGAGGAGCTCCGTGTTAAATTGTTTTGTATCCATCAGAAGAAGGTGTGTGAGGAGCGGAAAGCACAGATCGCATTTAATGAGGAGCTGAGGAGGCAAAAGCTGGTGGAAGAGCAGATGTTCTCCAAACTCTGGGAGGAAGACCGATTAGCCAAGGAAAAGCGAGAAGCCCAAGAGGAGAGGAGACAGAAAGAGCTGATGGAGAACACACGCCTGGGGCTGAATGCCCAGATCACCAGCATCAAGGCACAAAGGAAGGCACTACAGCTGTTGAAGGAAGAGGAGGCGCGCCTTGTGGTGGGCCTTTAAACTGCTTGTGATAGGGTGATCAACTCCATGGGTGGAGTACAGTTTGCAGGCCTGTTACCGTATAATTTGTCTGATGGCCTCGGCTGGTTTACAGGCACATTTCCATTTTTGGACTTTCAGTTTAATAATGTATTCAAATGTATAGTGAAGAGTACATAGAAGGGTCAAATTTGGAAGGCCAACACACCCACAGGTGGAGAATGGTGGTGGGCAACAGGTTCTGGGATTAAAAGTGGTTTCTCTTTATACTTTTCTGTTTTTCAACTCTACAACTATTTATTACTTTAAAACCACACATGCCCAGGTAATTTTCAGTTTTATTGCTGACTCAACTGTGAAAAGGCAAGTTTTATTTCTTACAGCCTCTCTAAATCTAGGTGTGTGTGTGTATTTCCAAAAATCCTTTATTCTCATCTCCTAAATCAAATGCACTAACTTTTCTTGTCCAACTGTACTGATGTTTTATCTTTATTATGATTCTACCTTAGGAAAGTAACAATGCACAGATTAAACATGAGAATGAACAGGATAAACTAAAGAAACAGAAGGCAAAGCAGGAAACTAGGACCATGTTGCAAAAGGCCCTACAAGAGAGGATAGAACATATTCAGCAGGAATACAGAGACGAACAAGACTTGAACATGAAGCTTGTGCAAAGGGCCCTTCAAGACTTACAGGAAGAGGCAGATAAAAAGAAACAAAAAAGAGTAAGACATTTCTTTCTTGCCTGCTACCTGCTGGAAGGGATTCCTTACTGAGTTCTCAGTCTTGTGGAAGACGGCTACAAATATGTAACAGTGCTACTTTGAGTGTGGTTCATGAGCCAACAGCATCAGCACCATCTGGGAAAATGTCAGAAATAGAAATTCACAGGCTCCAGAATCAGGATTTTCCAATCAAAATCATGACAGGGGCAGGAAATCTGTTTCGGCACACTCCCCCAGGTGATTCTGATGCTAACTAAAGTTTGAGAACTCCTGGAATTTGAGGAAGACATCACTGAGAAAGTGCCATTTGAGTTGGACCTTAAAGGATATGTAAAGTTTTGTCAGGCAAAAAAAGGAGGGAAAGGCATTCAGTATTGATTCGCTACCTGTCCCTTTGAAATTTGTGTTGAACTCTTAAGAGTGTTTTGTGGCAGGATGCAGTGGCTCATGCCTGTAATCCCAGCACTTTAGGAGGAGGAGGCGGGTGGATCACCTGAGGTCAGGAGCTTGAAACCAACCTGGCCAACATGATGAAACCCCTTCTCCACTAAAAATACAAAAATTAGTCGGGTGTGGTGGCATGTATCTGTAATCTCAGCTACTTCAGAGGCTGAGGCAGGAGAATCGCTTGAACTTGGGAGGCAGAGGTTACAGTGAGCCAAGATCACACCACTGCACTCCAGCCTGGTCTCAAAAAAAAAAAAAAAAAAAGTGTTTTGTTTCTCCCATAGGTGCTTTTTCTTTTTTTTCACCTGGTTCTTAGTGTGCATGTGCTTTGTTTTTTAAGTAAACTTCTCTTTTTTTTTTTGAGACAGGGTCTCACTCTGTAACCCAGGCTGGAGTACAGTGGCATAATCATGGCTCACTGTAGCTTCCCCCTCCTGGGCTCAAGCAATCCTCCCACCTCAGCCTCTCGAGTAGCTGGGACTACAGATGCCCACCACCTAGGCAGGCTAATTTATGCATTTTTTGTAGAGACAGGGCTTCGCCAAGTTGCCTGGGCTGGTCTGGAGTGGGCTCCCACCTTGGCCTCCCAAAGTGCTGGGATTACAGGTGTAATCTAGTCACTGTGCCTGGATATACTTTTCATTTTGATATGATTATAGATTCACATGCAGTTTTAAGAAATTATAGAGAGAAATTCCTTGTACCCTGTACTCTGGTTCCCTCAATGGTAATATCTTGCAAAACTATAGTACCATGCCAGTCAGGATGTTGACATCAAATCAAGATACTGAACATCCATCACCACCAGGCTATATTGCCTTAATATAGCCACATCTGCTTCCCTCTTGCTCCACCTTCTCCTTAACCCTGTTCTTTATTTCTATAATTTTATTTCAGGAATGTTATATTAGTAGAATGATATAGTATATAATTTTTTCAGATAGCTTTTCTCACTTAGCATAACTCTCAGGAGATTTATCCAGCTTTTTGGATCTATCAATAATTGTTTCTTTTTATTATTTACTTATTTATTTATTTTTAGACAGTCTGGCTCTGTCACTCAGGCTGGAGCGCAGTGGTGTGATCTCAACTCCCTGCAGCCTTGACTTACGGGGCTCAATTGACACTTCCGCCTCAATCTTGTGAGCAGTTGGGCCTACAGGCACAAGCCACCATTTTGAGCTAATTTTCTTATTTTTTGTCGAGATGGAGTCTCACTCTGCTGCCCTTGAACTCCTGGGCTTAAGTGATCCTCTTGCCTTGGCCTCCCAATGTGTTGGAATTACACATGAGCCACTGTGCCCAGGCTTCTTTTTATTTTTTCTGTTTATTTATTTATTTGAGACGGAGTTTTACTCATGTTGCCCAGGCTGGAGTGCAATGGCATGATCTCGGCTCACCACAACCTCCGCCTCTCAGGTTCAAGCGATTTTCCTGCCTCAGCCTCCTGAGTAGCTGGTATTACAGGCGTGCGCTGGTGTGCCCAGTGCTTTAAGTAGAGATGGGCACATCTCTACTTAAAGATGTTTCTCCATGTTGGCCAGGCTGTTCTCACACTCCCAATCTCAGGTGACCCACCTGCCTCAGCCTCCCAATTTATTCTTGTGTAGTATTCATGGTATAGATTTACCACAATTGGTTTAGCCATTCACCTGTTGAAGGACATTTGAGTTGTTTCCAGTCTATGACTATTATAAGTAAAGCTGCTATATTCATTTGAGTACAGGGTTTTCTGTGAACACAAATTCTCACTTCTTTTTTTTTTTTTTTTATATGGAGTCTCACGCTGTCACCCAGGCTGGAGTGCAGTGGCATTGTCCCAGCTCACTGCAACCTCCACCTCGTGAGTTCAAGTGATTCTCCTGCCACAGCCTCCTGAGTAGCTGGGATTACAGGAGTGTGCCAACCATGCCCAGCTAATTTTTTTTTTGTATTTTTGGTAAAGACAGGATATTGCCATGTTGACCAGGCTGGTCTAGAACTCCTGACCTTAAGTGATTCACCCACCTTAGCCTCCCGAAGTGCTTGGATTACAGGAATGAGCCACCACACCAGGCACAAATTACCATTTCTATGAGATAAATGCCTAGAAGAGCAATTGCTATGTCATATAGTAATTGCATGTTTAGTTTTTTAAAGAAACTGCTTAACTGTTTTTCAGAGTAGCTATACAATCTTACATTTCCACCAGCAATACATGAGCAATCCAGCTTCTCCACATCCTCACCAGCATTTGGTGGTATCACTATTGTTCACTTTAACCATTCTGACAGATGTGTAGTAACATCTCATTGTGGTTTAATTTACATTTCCCTAATGGCTAATGATTTTGAACAACTTTTGTGTGCCTGTTTTCCATCTGTATGTCTTCTTCAGTGAAATGTCTCTTCATGTTTTTTGCCCATTTTCTGTTTTTTTTTTTTTTTTCTTTTTTTTTTTTGTTGAGCCAGTATCTCACCTTGTCACTTAGGGCGCAGTACAGTGGCATGATCATAGCTTACTGCAGCCTCCAACTCCTGATTTTTGCCCATTTTCTAATCGACTTGCTTATTTGATTTGTCTTTTCCTGTTGAGGTTTTTGTTCACGATTAAATCATTTTATTTATTTATTTTAACAGTTTCACATAACATTCACATAACATTCAGTTCCCCAGTTTAAAGCATACAATTCAGTGGACTTTACCATATTCACAGATAGTACAGCCATCACCACATTCCATTTTAGAACATTTTCACTATCCTGCTATCCCTTCTTCCCCACCTCCCGCCTCCAGTCCTAAGTAGACACTTATCTACTTTGTGTCTCTATAGATGTCCCCATTCTGGATGAAATGAATGGAATCACATATTATGTGTCCTTTTGACTGTCTTCTTTCACTTAGCATAACATTTTCAAGGTTTATCCACATTGTAGCGTGTATCACTACTATTTTATTTGTTTATGCAGCTGAATGATATTCCGTTGGGTGGATATGCGACATTTTGTTTATGCTTTATGTCAGTTGATGGACATTTGAGTTATTTCCACTTTTTGGCTATTATGAATAATGTTACTATGAACATTCATGTACAAATTTTTGTGTCGACATATGTTTTTATTTTTCTTTGGGGCGTGTATCTAGAAGTAGCATTACTGGGTCATACGTACAGTAACTCTGTTGAAGTTTTGAGGAATTGCCAAGCTATATTCCAAAGTGGCTGAACCATTTTACCTTCCTATAAGCTGTGTATGAGGATTTTGATTTATCCACATACTCAGCAATACTTATTATTGTCTGTCTTTTTTATTTTGCCCATCCTAATGCATCTAAAGTGGTATCTCACTATGGTTTTTATTTGTATTTCCCTAGGGACTAATGATATTGAACCTCTTTTCCTGTGCTTATGGCCATTTGTAGATCTTCCTTGGAGAAATCTATCTGAAGGCTATTCTCTATTCTTTTTTTTCTGTTTGTTTTTGTTTTTATATACATTTTATTGCACTTTAGGTTCTGGGTTACATGTAAAGAACAGGCAGGATTGTTGCGTAGGTACATACAGGTACATACATGGCAATGTGTTTTGCTGCCTCCATCCACCCCCGTCACCTATATCTGGCATTTCTCCCCCTGTTATCCCTCCCCAACTCCCTACCCCCTGCTATCCCTCCCCTAGTCCTCCCCAACAGACCCCAGTGTGTGATGCTTCCCTCCCTGTGTCCATGTGTTCTCATGGTTCAACATTCATCTATGAGTGAGAACATGCAGTATTTGATTTTCTGTTCTTGTGTCAGTTTGCTGGGAATGATGGTTTCCAGGTTCATCCATGTCCCTACAAAGGACACAAACTCATCATTTTTTATAGCTGCCTAGTATTCTGTGGTGTATAGGTGCCACATTTCCTTTATCCAGTCTATCATTGATGGGTTTTTGGGTTGGTTCCAGGTCTTTGCTTTTGTAAACAGTGCCGCAATGAACATATGTGTGCATGTGTCTTTATAATAGAATGATTTATAATCCTTTGGCTATATACCCAGTAATGGAATTGTGGGTCAAATGGAATTTCTATTTCTAGATCCTTGAGGAATCGCCACACTGTCTTCCACAATGGTTGAACTAATTTACACTCCCACCAACAGTGTAAAAGTGTTCCTATTTCTCCACATCCTCTCCAGCGTCTGTTGTCTCCAGATTTTTTTAATGATCGCCATTCTAACTGGCATGAGATGATATCTCATTGTGGTTTTGATTTGCATTTCTCTAATGACCAGTGATGATGAGCATTTTTTCCATATGTTTCTTGGCCTTATATATGTCTTCTTTTGAAAAGTGTTTGTTCATGTCCTTCACCCACATTTAAATGGGTTTGTTTGTTTTTTTTTCTTGTAAATCTGTTTTAGTTCTTTGTAGATTCTGGATATTAGCCATTTGTCGGATGGGTAGATTGCAAAAATTTTTTCCCATTCTGTTGGTTGCCCGTTGACCCTAATGATTGTTCCTTTTGCTCTACACAAGCTCTGGAGTTTAATTAGATCCCATTTGTCTATTTTGGCTTTTGCTGCCAATGCTTTTGGT